GTTCCTGGTTGGTTCGCTCCCAGATTTCTCTGTTGCTGATCCTCTCCGGCCATTTGATCTTGAGTATTGAGCGAAGGCATTTGTTAATGAAGGTCTGTAGCTTCTTTGAGCTGTTCTTTGTGACACGCCAAGTCTCTGATCCGTATAGTAGTACTGACTTCACATTGGAGTTGAAAATACGGATCTTATTTTTGACGCTGAATGCTGTTGACCTCCACATAGACTTGAGAGAAATGAAAACTTGTCTTGCTTTTCCGATTCTGGCTTTGATATCCTCGTCAGTTCCTCCTGTAGTTGAGACGATGCTTCCCAGGTAGGTGAAAGAAGTTGTTTCCTTCAGGTTCCTCCCATTTATGCTGATTGTTGTCAGTTGTTGCTGTTGATGTTGGCCAGGAATCTTCATTACCTCTGTTTTGTCTATGTTCACTTGAAGTCCTATCTTTGCTGCTTCTTCTGCCAATTTGTTGCTTTTCACTTGCATATCTTCCAGTTTGTGGGAAATCAGACATATATCATCGGCGAAATCCAAATCCTCCAAGGCTTTTGTGTCGGTCCATTTTATGCCTGTTCCCTCGTTGGTTGCCGTTGTCTGCCGCATTATCCAATCAACTGCAATCAGGAAGATCATTGGTGACAGTAGACAGCCTTGTCTCACTCCCGTCCTCACTTCGAAGGATTCCGTGAGCCTCCCGTTGTGGATTACTTGGCAATAAATGCCATAAATAAACGAATCTAATCTCTCCAACAGTGTGGTTAGCTTGTCAGTAATTGCAGGGGAATCACGGTTGATAAAGAAGCTTATCCATCCTGACAATATTCCTTCTGAGAGTCGGCTAGTTCTGTGGAGGCCTTAATTTCCCTTTTCTTACATTCATTAACATCTTCGCTAACATCCCTGTGGATTGTTGAATAAATTCTAAGAGAGAGAGCGAGAGATAGAGAGTTGTTGAATAATCTTTCAGATCTTTAGTAGGTCAGGTATCACGGTATAAGAATTTAACACAGAATGGAATTATTATTATTATTATTATTAACAATTAACCACTATAATCATTATTTACAGGTAATCTTCACGTGATTTATGGTGTCATATAGGTCAAAAAAAAATAGTGACTAAAATATTTTAGATTTTTTTATAGAAGAAAATCACAGTGGAATTTCATTTTTAATTAATAAAAATAAATAAATTTTTTTTTAATATGGAACTTTTCACTGGTTCAAATTGCTCCACTTTGTTATGTATGCCTAAACTCGTAGAGAAGAAAGAAGTTACGTGGAGGCTAATGCGAGTGTAATGAATCTCGGGGGATTACACAGAATGAATCAAACTGCATCACTGAGTACAGTTTTGAGATATATAATCAATAATCTCTAGCCATTGGTTCTCATTGTCTCAAGGTCCCGAGTCAGGTAGTCCATGCTATTGTGTGTGGCCACGTTTTGGTCTGACTACCTCTAACTTTTTTATTACCTCATCCTTATGTTGGTTAACATTACTGACTGACTGGTTTCAACGTAGAACTTTGCACCGATGTGCAGCAGTTCGAGTCTCCGAACTTCACTCAGCACACAGAGCCAGAGAAGAAAGTAAAAAACAACAAAAATAGTGACAGTAAACAGAGATATGAGGCAAAAAGAATAGTAGTATTGAAAAACAATATAGTTTTACTGGAAATTGTAAGTCACAAGGAGTGGATGTATGTGCGCCAGCCATTAAGAACGGTGATTTTGAGCCATATCACTAATTGTCTCCAGCCTCCGTTGGTTTTTACCATCCCAAGGACCCCAACTAGGAAGTCTGCACCTTCCTACGTGACTGGCTTAAACTAACTATTGTGGATTTCATTGACTGATGAAGCCATATTTTGGTTTGACCACCACTGGCTCTTTTCCAACCTGATCCATCCTATATCACCTAACACTGCCCGTCGAGGAAGGCGATGTTAACACTACTGTACAAGGGAGACGATGGCTTGACATATTTTTGACACATATCCTAGCCATGGTATCACTATCAAATACAAGCTGGAAATTTACGAGTCTCTTGTGCTAATGAACTTACTAACTCGTAGATTTGCAAGCCTGTTGTCCTAATCACTATTCGTAACATCAACCATCATAACACGATACCACTGAAACGCATCGCAAGGAAGAAAGACGTTTGATCGTTCAAAAGAGAGGTGTTACTGTTTTGAGTCAATAGTGAAAGAAAAATTGATAACAGTTCGAAATACGTAGGCTTAAATGACCTTGATTTACATGGACTTCATTTAATAAGTCAAAACAGTTAACAACCAATAGAATTCAGGGGTCATAAATGGTGGGAAATATAAATATCCCTGTAATGTGGAAATAAATGTAATATTCTTGGAAAAATTAGTTGTGTATCTAACGCTTCGTTGATTGAATTTTTCTCCTTAACTGATACGCTACGTCTAACCTGTTTATTACTAACCATACAGCATCGTCGAACATTGGAGATAGAACATAGATTTGTGAAGTCAAAGATGCCTGGACTCTTCATATATCCTACATTCAACTGCCACGTCTCATAGATGTAAAGAAGGATAGGATAAAACCATTGAGCTGTGCACACATCCTTTGATGGATAGGCAGATATCATGTCTACGACAAATATGGTTATCATTGTCATCTGAAGTGGTGACGACTAGTGGCGTCCGTCAAGGATGCCCATTATCCCCATTCCTATTCAACTTCATCATAGATGTACTCATGGACTTAACCCTAACACACTTCAGCGACTCAGGGATTGACTTGCTACCAGGGAATAATCTCGTCGATTTAGAATATGCGGACGATATAGTCCTTCTAGGCGAGGACTCTGACAAAATGCAGAGCCTACTGAACACCTTGAGCTGCAATCCTCATATGTTTGGCATGCGATTCGCCCCTGTAAAATGTAAGATGATGCTGCAGGATTGGACTTCACCGACCCCTAGATTAGAAATAGGAACTGAAGTGGTAGAACAGGTTGACCACTTCACTTACTTGGGAAGTACCATCAGCCCCAACGGGTTGATCTCAGACGAAATTTCAGCACGAATACAGAGGGCTAGTCTCGCATATGCCAGTTTACGCCGTCTCTGGTGTAGACGTGATATCCGACTATCGACCAAAGGGCGTGTGTACTGCTCAACAGTCCGCTCCGTCCTCCTTTATGGCTGTGAGACCTGGCCATTGAGAGCGGAAGACATGAAAATATTAGGTGTCTTCGATCATAGGTGTCTGCGTTCTATCTCCTGTGTGAAGTGGTATAATAAGGTGAGCAATATTGAGGTTATGCATCGGTCAAGTGCTAGTTGGTAAGGAGTGGAAATCAGTCGACGAAACTGTGAAATTACATCGACTGAGATGGTTAGGACATGTGCTACGTATGCCTAGTCATCGCCTTCCTCGACAATGGGCGATGTTAGCTGATATAGGGTCAGGCTGGAAAAGAGCTAGCGGCAGTCAAACCAAAACATGGCACCAGTCAATGAAATCCACAACAGTTAGTCTAAGCCACGTAGGAAGGTGTAGACTTCCTGACTGGTTGGGGTCCTCGGGATGGTAAAAACCAATGGTTGGAAACAATCGGTGATATGGCTCAAAATCGTTCTCAGTGGCTGGTGCATCCACTCCTTGTGACTCATGATTTCCAATGTAACTGTTTCGTTCTCGGTTATTACTATTCCTTTGTCTCACACCTCTGTTTACTGTCTCTAATATGTATTTCTTCTCTTTTCTTATCTTGCTTTGCGTGCTACATGGAGTGTGGTGACTTGAACTGGCGCACATATGTGCAAAGTTCTATGTCGAAAACCGACCGACCGACCAACCGTTCCCTTGGGTTCCGAATGGAAAATAGTGTTTCAGCAACACATCTCCACTTTGTTCTTTTTTTTCTGCCACCCTCTTCAGCTGGATCCACAATTGCCATAACCTGCTATCTCATCCAACTCCCAACACTATCTCTTCCATGTCACCGTCAATGTGATAACTCACTCGTCACTTCCAATTGGGAGTCCATTCGAGTGATCGCCTACATTGCACGCGACGTCATTCGACGGCCTCCAAAGGGGTGTATGCCCGATCCACCTCCATTTTCTCCTACATATCTGTTGAACAATCGGATCTTGGTTAGTTGGTTCTTTCTGGTAAGCCGGCCATTTGCGCTTTAACATGGATCCAGTAAAGGAGGCAGCTGTTAATAAAAGTTTGCAGTGACCTGTTGGAAGTCCTTTTCGTGACAAGTACGCTGGTCAAGTTTCTGACCCGTACTGAAGAACTGAATCTTGTTCTTTATTATGAGGTGGAGTTCAGACGATTTCCAAGTTGGTTTCAGATTGATGAAGGTGTATCTCACTTTTCTCGATTCTGGCTTCAGCATCTTCATCAGTGCTGTCGCCTGTATTTGAAACGATGCAGTCTAGATAGGTGAAGAAGATAACCTCTTTCAAATGTCTCCCACTGATGTTGATTGGTACTGGTTGTTATTGTTGTTGCTGTGATTGGTTGGTTATCCTCATCACCTCCTCTCTCTTCTCTATGTTCACCTGCACTCCTGTCTTCGATGCTAGCCTGCTACTTCTGCCAGTTTGTTGATTTTCGCCTGCCTGCAAGTCTTCGAGTTTGTGTGACATGAGTCATAAATCATCCTCGTGCAAAATCCAGATCTCCTAGAGTCTTTTTATCGGTCAAACGTATTCCTGTCTTCTCGCTCTCAGCGCAGTCTCAGACATAGTCCACGAGAAATATGCTACTATTTGATAAATACCATTCTTTTAACATTGTGTGGCTTTTAAAGGCTTCATTTGTTTCCAACTGAAGTATCTGGTCACACTTTACTGTCTCAGTTAAACAGATTTACGAAAAATGTCTTCTATATTCTAGTCAAACGTCAATCATCCGTAGATTCACGTAATTTGACACGCATTAATCCAGTTTCTCAGTTTCTTTTAAATGGCTCTTTCTCTCCTTTCTTCCTTCCTTCCTTATAGACTGAAAAAGAAAGAGATGAACACTTAAAAGATATACGCAATTTAGAAGATACTATACGAGCTAAAAAAGCCAGTTTAAAGTTAGCTGAAACACGATTGGAGAAACGACATGATAGACAAGGGAATGAAAATATTAAAGATGCTCCATATATCGGTCTACTCGAAGAAGTATCAGCACTACGTGATAGTATAGATGTATTAGAAGAGAAATTAGCTAAATCAAGGTATGCATTTACTTTTTTTGAAAAAAATTATTTTACTTTATGTTCTTGTACTACTTATTTTGAGACAATGTTAGTAGTATATGAACTTCATCAAATTTATGAACTATAGAGAAAATATGGTGGAAACTAAAAAATTCGGAACGTTTTAGCCAATTCTCATATTGAGATAAATTATTAAGATAGAGTTGTGTTGTAAACAGAGTTTTCAAATCGAATGTATTCTGAGGAGACCGTTATTGGGTAGTGGCATCACACACGAGGTATGCTCCTGAGTCGAGCTCGAATGGAAAGGAGATTATGTGAGGGAGAGCTGAAAAAACTCGTGGGTGATGTTAGAGCCATCTTAAAGGCACTGCAGATAACCGAATGAAATGGAAATATGTCTTTGAAGCTTCCTATGTTGTTTTTTCGGAAACCATGGGAATAATAATAGAATTGAAAACATTTATTTCCCGATACGAATTTAAAGCAAGCAACAAAGGTTAATAAAGCAGGACTTATTGAATTCATCCAATTTTGATGGAACTCGTCAGCTGAATACTCTACATACACGGATATACATGTATACCATAATAAATACATTAGGAGATATAAGACTGATAAGCAAATAAACTGCATTGAATTAATCATACTAAACGGCATATGTGAATATTTTTCAGGTCATATTCAAATAGATAAGGGGAGAGGGAGTATGAGATATTAAAATTAAGATAAATTGCATTACGCTTCAATTACACATCACTTAGATAAACAATTAGTCATTAGAGAATATAACAAGAATTGCAAACAGAGTAATATCAATAGTAATAGTTATAATAATAATAATAATAAAAGGTAGAATAATAAGTAAAACGTATTACCATGGTAGATTCAGAGTCACGACCATCTCCTTTTGTACACACAGACCTGGTTTGCAAACTCGAATTGTACAAGCCTCTGCAATTGCAAGCATCTTCTTGTTTCTTTGTCTGCTGACAATGGTGAATGACTTGACCACGTCGATATCATGCCCGTAATCCACAAGATGCTTTGTTATTGAGGATTTCGGCACTTTGAACTCAGCTGTTTTCAACCGCCTTGGCAAATGCTACATCATGCGAGTAAACAACCGCCTCTTCGCGCAACCTATGTATTCGTTTCCACAAACACACTCAGATTGATGTGAGCAGTCTGAAGTGTCGAGGATTGGCGACTGGTCTTTCCCAGATTGTTAAAGCACTAGCTTAGTGGTGTTAAGGAAAACAAGTTTTGCAGAATAATAAGTTCTCTTGATGGCTTTGTCAAGTCTTCGTTTGACTACTTCCTGTACATCATCTCCTTTGAATGACAAACAGATATAGACATGTTTCTTCGGGACTGTCTGGATTGTTTTGCAGGGGCTCATTTCTTTAGAGTATTTATTAATGAGCTTCTCAGTATATCCATTATTAGATAAGATATCCTTCAGAGCTTTTATTTCATGCTCAATCGTACCTTCAGAACAAATTTTTCGTGCTCTATTGAACAGTGTTCTGACTAGGCTCTTAAAATGCATGTACTATCCTGTCCATGAAGACTTTCTAAATATAGATTTTTCGATTGTGCCATCAGTCATTTTCACTGGATAAACGTCTAGGAATTTATTAGTATCATTTTCTTCGTGTTTTATTGTGAAACTGAGATTTGGGTGGCATGAGTTGAATTTTATCAGCATGTCTTCGGCTTCTGATCTGCTTCCTTATATAATAAAAATGTCATCAACTTATCTTAGGTATACATCCATTTGTTGTATATGTTGCTGCAAGGTACCAATTTCTAGGCTAGACAAGAATAATTCTGCAAAAAGTGGTCTCAAGTGGCTTCCCATTGCGACACCATCAGATTGACGGAATAGACGCCCGTCGAATTGGAATAATATTAACAGTAATGATAGTTGTAAAATGCCTTAGCTGATCTATGTGCTATGTAGGTATTGGTTTGTGAACGACAAATGGAATATAATGGCTAACGATAATAGCTAGTTGGTAGAGTTTTATCAATGGGCACTTTCCGTAAAACTCATTACATTAGCATAGAGTGAAAAAAGCAAACAATGTGGGCAGCTTAGCAAATTCACCCTTCAAACGTTGATATTGTCAATTTACGAATGTCACATAAAGTTATGTAATCTAGGGTAAAAAATATCTGTCGTCACTCGATTTCCCACGGAATATGGAAATTAATCGACTTTCAACGACTGACAGGTTTTGCTAGTGTGACAGTAGAAGACAATAGACTTGGTAACAGAATGTTGACTGGGAATTCGATATCTCTATATAGGGAAATTATATACATTTAAATAAACTGTCGTCAAGATTTGACAGAATATATATATAAACCTATGTTATGTTAATTTCGATTAATTTCCCTGAAGAAGTTCGGATCAGATTGCCGAACGAAACGTTGGGATTACTCATTTCAATCTCGCTGAGACTTAACAAATATAATTTTTTACAAATGTCTACTTCTCACTCGGCGCCCAAATATTTTAGAACTATTCTGTCAAATCTTGACGACAGTTCATTTAAATTATTTTGCAATCGAATTAAATTCACAAAGAAACTGTGTAACTGGCACAATCATCGTGTTTTCACTCTCCGTTGTCTGCAACAGAATGCATATCCTAAATCCGTAGCTGTCGAGTCACCTGACAACTCCAGTAGGTCGAATAAAGCAGCTCGATCTTCAGAAAGAAGGCAAAGCAATAAGTCCGACAGGATGCTTATACTAAACTCGAATCCTAAACACCATAATTTTGAAAATACGTCTAATCATAAAATTCTAGATACTAACAGTTTGAACGGACATGAAGGCGTGATGTTAGCTGATGCATAGGAAATCCTTATTAATAAATAAAAAATGGATATGTATCACTAATTAATAATACTTGGTCAAAATTCTCGACTGTCCATATCTTCTTATGGAAACGTTAAGAAATGTTTTACAACTGTTTACCCACACACACATACACACTCTGTTTAAAGTGTTTAACAAAGGTAGACCAATATTTGTAAGTCCCAGGTCAAATTTTGATCATAGCTCATAAATATTTTGTTCATTATACTTGTTGATACTTTTTGAATGACTCATGATTGGACAAATTTTCAAAAACAAGTGATGTTCCTTTTTATATATAAACCTCTGTTATGTTAATTTCGATTAATTTCCCTGAAGAAGTTTGGACCAGATTGCCGAACGCAGGAAACCTTGGAATTACTCATTTCAATATCGCTGAGACTTTACAAATATAATTTTTTAGAAATTATATACACCTTACCTTAAAATCGTCATTTGCTCAGATCTTCTGTGTTAAGCTACTTCCGCCCTTGTATTGTGTTTCATTGTCTTCTTTTCATGTCTCCCGTATTTTGCCGCAACACTGGTTCATTTGCTCTCCTTGACGTCAAGTTTATCACTCGGCTATTTGATATTCTTGCGCCGATAAACGTTCTTTCATATACTACTGATAAATCTTGTCAATAGCACGCACCATGCTTGGAATTAGCATCATAAAAGAGACGGTTGAAATTTAAAAGTTTGGTACTTACCAGTAATAATGGAGAGATGGTTTATACCTCTGAGATCTAAGATGAGCAATTTAACTATAATAAGCTTACATTATCTTACTGGACGGCATCTTTCAAGTCCAAGAATATAAACTAGCAGTGAAAAGGAATGACAAACATGCTTTCATATCAATGCATGTAGACAACTATAAAAGTAACAAGATGATGTAAACATTTCAAGTGGTAGAAACATCTTAAGTTCCAGGAAATTCCTAAAAGCTTAGTACTCAAACGAATCTGCACTCATTTAGTTAGTTATCAGAATGTCTCATTTTCTGTCAGTTCACCTTGTAGGAGGCCTTTGAAAACAAAAACTAAGGTCAGTCATCAAAAATCAAGGAGTTGCTGATGAACATATACGCTTGGAGAAGGCAATCAATTGATTCCAGCAGAGTATTCCTCATTAGTACAAGTTAAGTGGTGGAAATCACTGTCTTCCAAACGAGTGGTTATTTTGGCGATGTACTTACCATGAAACTTTACGATCTCCTGCTTGTTTAGATAGAGGGTCTTTTCTGAGGATCAATGAGGGATTTTTTCATTTTTTTAGCTGACATAAATTCATGATGCCTTCGGTGTTTTCTAATCGTGAAAGGATGTAAGTGGTGTATACGGTAACCTTGGCGTGTCACGAAAAGCATTTCAAACAGGCTACTGCAGATTTTTATCAACAGCTGCCTCCAATGATTCCATACTGAAGACTAGATGGTCAACCAAAAAGGATTAGTCACAAGAAACTCTGGAGATGAAATTATTGTCCAAAAAATATGTGAAGAAGACAATGGAGATGGATTGGACTTACGCTGGGGAGACTGTTGAGTGATATCACTCACAGCCAGGCCATCGTTCGAATGGAAATCGAGTGGGAAACGGCGAGTAGGGCGCAAGTCCAAGGCTGATATGGTGGAGATCGTGTGAGGAAGAAGAGAAGAAAACTTAGTGGCGTTCTTGGAATTAACTGAAGGCGACTGTAGAGAACCGAGCAAAATGGAGATGTGCTGTTGAAGTCGAAGGGAAGCGCACGGGAATAACAGTATACTTGGCGAGGTTTAATAAGGTATCAGCAGGAAGTCAAACATCAGACCACATGCCAGCAATCTACACTTAAACCACCTAGCAATCAAAGTATCTAATAATTTTTGTTTAATTTGGACCTTTTGTAAAAATGTGCGACTTCTTGACGTACTAATTTTGGAGTTTCCTGTTAGCTAATACGTTTAACTGCAATGGAATATAAATATATGATCGTGAAGAAACTATATCTCTTGAGGAAATTTAAACAAAGTTGTGAATACTACTTATTTTTACGAGTTAATCACGGTTTGATATCAGTTACAGAATCATTGAAAATTAGTGTTGAAGTACTGGACAGCTGTTTCATCTGCCTAGTTTGGGAATCATCGACAGTGTGCACCCACTGCCCGGGGTTCAAATACAAGACCTTCCGGTTACAAGGCAAGCTCGTATGCCATTCAGCCACTAGGACTGGCTCATGAATTCTAACTTCTACCAATTCGTGATTTAGTGCGACCCCAACCATTGTCGCAGGTGGGACATCCATCCTTACACGTGACGTCTGTATGAACCTCACTGGTCATGACTTCTCACTAGAACTCCAGGAAACTCCATCCTGTAGCAAGTCACTAGCGAGCATCAGATTAATTTTCCAAAGTTGATTTGTAAGGGTTAGTTTTGTTTTTATGAGTTGATCACGGATTGATATCAGTTTGGTTGGGGTTGCACTAAATCACGAATTGGTAGAAGTTAGAATTCATGAGCCATTGAATTGGGTCCCAGAAGCTGAATGGTATACGGGCTTGCCTTGTGACTGGAAGGTCCTGGGTTCGAACCCTGGGCAGTGGTTGGGTACTACCAATGATTCCCAAAACTAGGATGAAACAGCTGTCCAGTACTCCAATACTGATTTTGAAAGGTTCCGTAACTGATATCAATCCGTGATCAACTCGTAAAAACAAAACTAACCCTTACAAACCAACTACAGGGAATACTACTTATAATAATAGTAATAATAATAATGGTAATTTAATTTGCACCTTTATGGATAACACTTCACACAGATGCGACAACTCATTACAGCATGGTTTTACAAGGGTGAAAGTAAGGGTTTGAGAAGCTCTATTCTTCATAACAATTGATTGACTTTTCCATCCACCTAATCATGAAAATGATTTTAAGATCATTCATTGAAATCCTGCTAACCTACCACGTTTTCTGCGTTCCAAACTTTTAATGATCATGTTAGCCTTGGCTATTCAAGAATTTAGGTCAGACCTTTGTGTATAAAAGTAGTATGTACAGTCCTTATTTCTACCTTGAGTGTAGAACAAAACGAAGGGATAGAAACAACCACTTATTTTAGGTTCCATCACAAGCTGACATCAGCCAGAGAGTCACTGGGAAACTAGAAACTGTTGGATAGCTGTTTCGTCCTAGCTTGGGACTCTTCAGTGGTACAAGCCCACTTAGGTTTGAACCAACGACCTTCCAGTTACAAGGCGAGCTTGTAGACTCTTCAGCCTATTGGGACTCGATCCGATGGCCAGGTCATGATATGTGGCCAATTCGTGATATATAGCGCAACCACCATCTAATGTCAACGGCGGGTGTAATTTTGCCTGATAAAGCCCGTAGCCAATCAATTCCCTGAAAACTAACACCTGATAATTTATTTATTTATTTATTTCGTGTTGTTTATTTAATCTGTACACCTGTCCTTTGTTATTACGATTGTTAGTATTCTTATTATTTCGAACAGTTTCCGGTATTATTTCACTTGTCATGTTTATTATTTAAATTCAGTATACATTTTACCATGTTTAAGCTTATTACACCAAATTTGTCACCCTACTGCGTAATGTTTTCATTTAACTACTAATTCCACTAACTTTCTGCCACCTTCTAAGACCTATACTTTCTATAAATCATTTCATATGTTAAATAACCTGTTTTGTCGCTTTAACAGCCTGTCTGAATCAGTATTATTATTAATATTTGTTGATTTTATTCCTTTACGTTCTCAGTGAAACAAAAGGCTTCAAACTAGAGCAATTCTAATTTTCAGTAGCAGTACTGTTTATTTTTCAGGGTGAGGTTGCTAGCCTCACCTTCAACTTTCCCTCTTTATCAGCTTAGCGAGGTTTAGGTGTGTGTGCGGTTGGCGGGGGATTCAAACCCTGGACTACATGCGTGGTTGACGAGCATTTCTGTCTCTGAACTGGGGACGCATATAAAGTAATTTAGAGGGTGGTGACAAATAATGACAATGTCACGTGCCAGGTGATACACAACGGAAAACTCAGCGAACCCTTCAAAGTGAATACAGGAGTAAGGAAAGGCTGGCTGGCTGGCTGTCCATTATCACCGATGATATTCTTAATTGTAGTGGACTGCATTATGCGGCAGACCGTGCACGGGAAGCGAGCAGAGAGGAATACGCTGGGTGACCAATAAGAAGACTCAAGAAGATTTGGATTTTGCAGATGATTGATGTCCTATGTCACCCAAACTCATAGACTTGCAGGCGGAAACCGACAAACTGGCTGCAGAGAATGGCAGAGAAGACATGACTCCAGATGAATGTAGAGAAGACGGAGGTGATGAAGATAACCAACCGACCAAACAACAGTGGCCAGCACCAATCACTATCAACGGGAGAGATTTGACAGAGGTTACTTCCTTCACTTATCTAGACCGCGTCGTTTCAGTTACAGGCGACAGCACGGATGAAGATATCAAGGCCAGTTAGAATCGAAAAAGCGAGATACACCTTCATCAATGTGAAATCAGTTTGGAAATCTCCTGCACTCCACGTCAGGATAAAGAACAAGATTCGGATTTTTAACAAAAATGTGAAGTCAATTAGTTCTTCTATCCGGGTCAGAAACTTGGGGAGCATTTTACGAAAAGGATTTCCAACAGGTCACTGCAGACTTTTATCAAGAGCTGCCCTCTTTGATGGCTCTGAGGACGGCTGGACGGCTGGCTGGCCAGAAAGAATTAGCAACAAGCAATTCTTCAGTTGAACAAACCAACAGGCGATAGCCTACTGCTCAATAAATATGTAAGAGAAAATGGAGATGAATCGTGCATACGTTGAGGAGACCATCAATACATCGTGTGTGGCACAGATCAGTGCTCGAGTGGAATCTCAATGGGAGACGACGAATGGGTCATCCTAAGATGACATGGAGGAGATTGTGTAGAGAGTGTAAGGATTAGTCTTGGACTCAGCTGAAGAGGATAGCAGAGAATAGAACAAAGTGGAGATGTGTTGTTGAAGCACCATGTTCCACTGGAAACCCAAGGGAATAATAATGATAATAATAAAAAAGACAAATGATAAGGGTGATGTCAGCAGGTGCATGCAGCCTAGGGAGGGGAAAAGGAATGTCTGAAATAGCTGAAATACCCAAATAGGTATGAATATTACCAAAAAGATGGTTCAGTAGGGATTTTTCAAACAATTATCCTGTTACACTTAAAACGCTACAATAGAAATTACTAAACACCTTACATCTTACATCTTCTTGTTGTCTTCTTACAGAAATATATTACATAACTTAGAAGAACAAATTGCACAATTATGTCATGATGCCCAAAGAAAACGTCAAGCTTTACAAATCTATGAAGAAATTCAAAATATACGTAAACGTTTGGAGTATCCACCGACGGCTAGTTCTCCACCGTGTCCAATGATACCGGCAGGAATTATTCGTGAACCGACTATCTTCTAGTTTTTTTTAAAAATCCAACCATGACTTCATCAGTTCTATGCATCTGTATTTTGTGAAATCTTTGGATGAATTTTCATCTCTTGACGGATACTGTTATTGTTATTGTAATTTTCTTAATTTAATTTTTATTTTTTGGTGTAGTTAAATTGTTTATTACTTTTTAATTTCATTACTTTTTATTAAATCATTTATTTATTTCATTTATTTTTTGGTTATAAATAGTAACGATGTGTTAACTTACTATATTTATGTGTATCTATCCATGTATGATCAACACAGCGAGAGGGAGATGGAGACAGAAAGCGAGGAAACCTTCTTTTGCGGTACTTTTACTTATCTGTGATATTTCCTGACTATTTTCTGACAAAATAATGACAGAAATGACAAAGAAGAGACTGTCAATCCCTCCGTCCTCACTCACTGACTCATTCACTCTGTAGTCACTATTTGTTGACCCCCTCTATTATTCTTTTCAAACAAATAGTGTCAATGTTGTCATTATTGTTAAATATTACTTTGTGATTCAACCAAGTGATCTCACTAGATATGTCTTTCGAAAAAGTAATATAGATACATATGCATATACAACTGTAAATCTTTTAGCTTACTATTGTCATGATAAAATATAGTCAATGAATAACCTATTTGTGTGTTCAATGTTCAGTGGTACATTTAAATGTATGTTGAACATTGAAAACTCTACTTTGTTTGTTTTAAATTAAAGGTCTAACAAGAGCGGGAAGAATGAAAACCAACAGTAATTAGTGTTATGCATCTAGTCTTTTGTTTGGTATAGACTGTCAAGTTTGCAATGTAGCCACCAACAAGCTAGGTGGCTCATCATCATCATCATGGAGCACTGTGAATTGCGGTCATTAGATGGTTAGAGATAATTGGCTATGAAGCCTTTGTTATGATCGTTAATACAATTGATAGTTTGCACTAACGAACTTCTCATCTAATGGATTTGCGAACTTACTGTTCTATAAGCACTGTTGGCAGTAACAATGACACGATACTATATCACTAAACTAGCGATGCAAGAAGACGGACTGTTGACATAGAGAACTTTTTACAGTCTCGAATCAACAGCGTAAAGGGTTGATAGCAATTGCGTATACAAATACATTTGTTTTAAATGACCTTGAGAGACACTAATTACATTGATAAAGTAAAACAGTCAACAGCCAATAGGATTCCAGGGTCATAAGTTGGGAGGGGGGATACAAACATCACTTTTAAAGATAAATGTAATATTTTAGAAAAATTAGATTTCTCTAACAGTCTTATACCTAGGTTTGATGCTTCAGAGGAATAAACCGTCAAATGGGGTAAACCAGACGTAAGTTCAAGGGTTACAAATAACAAACAAATAATTGTGGTGATTAAATTATAACGATGATGTAGAGAACGATTATCAGGTAACAGCGAATCTAATTAAGTGGAATGAACAGGATTGCTTGCGTAAACCTAGGTTAGTGACACCAACCATTTGCGAGGACATCACCTCAAGGTTCAAAAACCACGGTCGAATCGTCTGCGTCTGGAGATTCGTTTTTCGCATCGAAATGTGAACACGTCGTATCAGCGCCATCCGTCGATTTATTCAAGGCGAGATTGGACCTCCTATGTGCAACAAATCGAAAGGATTAACACAGGCATATAGCCTACTATCCTAAATAAATTGTAAACTGTAAACTAATAGACATAATAAGAAAGGAACGTCATGAAATCGTTAAAAGTGTAAATTTAGACGTCTGTCAGCGAAACGAAGGAAAAAGAAAGAGAAATTGGGATGGGAATTTCAAGTGGTAATTCTTTTTTGGAGAGTTTGTTGTCTTTACTGTCGACAAAGCTGATAGACATACCGCCCTTTTTATTATAGCTCGATTCCACACGGTATTTTCGGTACAACTATGGAATTTTTCAGCATGTGATATCGGTAGCCCAAATTTAGCAGGCCGACCATTGATATCAGGTGTGCGTCGGCCGGAGATCGAACCCCGGATCATGTACATGTTTGGTGAGCGTTCTAACCGCTGTAATACCGACGCAGAGACCACAGAGACCATTTCATCCGATATTAATTGCTACCGCTCTTTAATCTTCTTCTGGATGGGTCGTATTCATGATGAAATTTACTACTTAATGATGAAGGCATCCCCAAAACCTCGACACAAGAATACAGGAAAAAAAGATACACCGTTAGTGTGGAGAGCTTTACTGTCTCATATCAACAGCGAAAATTGTTGACAACGTTTGTGCATATAGATTTGCCTTAAATGACCATGAGACGTACCAACCACATTGTTTAATTAAAACTGTTGATAACCAATAGGATTCCAAGGTCATAAATGGGGAGAGGGAAATACAACCAGCAATATAAAAATAATTGTAGTATTTTAGGAAAATTAAGTCTATATAACGAATTCACAGGTAGAATAAAAAATATTAACACCGAAGATAAAATTATGATATCTTTGCATCTAACATCTCTTTTCACAAATTTACCTCTAACTGAAACGGTTAATTACTTCTGTGAACAAGTCAATCAATATTAGGGACTCAATAGAAATCTTTAAAGGATTGTTCCTAAAGTGTACCATGAATGTGGATTTTAAATATGATGATGAACTCTATAGACAAGCAGATCGGATGACAATTGGCTTTCCTTTGAGCAGTCCCATATTAGCAGATTTCTTTCTTAGCACACTGAAAAAAGTGGTTCTTTAAACAACCTTATATCAGAAAATTCTCATTCTATTGGTTATCGAGATATGAATGATACATTCATCCTGTTTGAAAATGAATAGGACGCAGACGAAATAACATCTCGATCCAATGAAGTATTTAGAGGCTGAGAGTGTTGACATTCACAGGTAGTAGAATGTATACTGACGCAAGATTTAATACCCACAACTTCTATGGTGTCCGTTCCGCATAGATCAAAGGCAAAGTAAAACAACAAAATTGGTCATCCAAATTACTAATTATATTTAGGGAGCGAATCGGAGTGCAAGATGATTGCTTAACTAGCTAGGGATCGTGCAAGAATGAACAATACTAACATGATGGCGTACCAAATAGCTTGGATGCTTGATCGTAAGCCTTCAGCTAAACAAGTTGACTTAAACAGTGAGAGTCAGCATCCAGTGTTTATTGATGAATGCTGTGGCTAACAATTCTGGGGAATCACCTACCGCTACAAATACATTCAACTATCAAATTTACATGTGAAGAAGAATCTCAAAGGAGAATGGACTTTCTAGACGTCCTGCTGACAAAGTGATCGGGCGATAGTATAGAAAGGGATTTGCATTAGAAAAGTATATACATTTTAACAGCTTTTTTCTTCTCCAATTTAGAGGAAATTTGGTTAAGACCCTTAGGTATAAGCTTATAGCTGTTATTTGAGAAGATGCGAATGAAGATGAACTTTAGTTTGCATACGACAAATTCACCAATGAAAACAGCAATCCTGAGAAGTTATATCATGAAACACATGGCCAACAGAGTAGATAACAATTCTTCTGTATCTTTTGACAGAAAGTCTCTGTAAATTCGACTACAACTCAAAGGTAATATATCAAGTGAAATTAATTACCAACAGGTTAGGGAAATTGATCCAAACAACGTTTAATGCAAGTAAGCTGGAACTCGTACTTTTCGCAAAACTGCTTGCGATACCGTAAGGGGAAGGTGAAGTACCTTGGCCAGCTATCTCTTATTGTATGTACCAGTTGAACTGCTCCTGTGGAGCCAGTATTATTCAACCTAGTAGCTTTAGGAACTTAATTTTTCCAGCTTGGGAACACCTGCCAGTGTATGTCTAAATAAAGGTGTTGTGAAAACTAACAGAAGTTCTTCTTTATTAGATCACCTCCTACAAACAGGCTATAAAGCTAGTAAGCATTGAAGAGGCTTTTTCTATCACCTACCGGGTATTGAGTAAATTAGAACAAAACATATAAGTGAACGATACTGTTGTCTTCAATTAGACCTTCTTCACGCTTTACTCTAATTTACATAGATTTATATATAAAAATTTTAAGTATAGACAGTGATTTGTGGATCGAGTAATAATAATAATAATAATGATAGTAGTAATAGTAATGTGGTAAATGTTTTAAACGTCATCAATAACGATGATTATAATGATAACAAGGTTTATGCAGGCGAGGCGATAAGAATAACGAAGGTAGTAATATGTGTATATGTAGATAATTCAATCAGTGTGTGGTGGCCGAAAAACATATCAAATTAAATGTTCACCGAAAAATAAGGAATCCAATGAAAATCGTGGTTGTTATATGAGATCGAAAAGGACTAAACCTTGGACCGCACGCAACGAGCGAATCTGTCTCTCTCTCTCTCTAGCTGCTCGCTCATCACATCTGCCGACCAACTCTGTCTCACACTGATATAAGTATAAACTTGGGCACTGTGGTAGAGTGTAACTCCATTATGGTCAAGATTTTATTTGGATAAATCACACAGTGTTACACAGTAATATTAACTGATGACAACGTTTTGAGCACAAATTATTGCTCATAATCATATAAAGTTACTCAAACAACTTGATATGATTATGAGCAATAATTTGTGCTCGAAACGTCATCAGTTAATATTCTGTCTCACACTGATCGACACATCCACATTAAGATATTTTGCTCCAACCTGCTTTTCTCTACGCTGGAGATCTCCGATGGTTGATATCTCTAAGGTGTAGTTGAGGATTTGCATAATCAACAAAAGGACAATTTCATCCGTATTATTTCGTACGTCTATATTTTGAGTATTTTGTGACTATTATAGTGTTTTTCAATATCCATGGTAAGCTGTTTAATAATTCGTACCAAAGGCCGTAATTCACATCAAAGTTTTGTTTTTTACTTATGAACACAACCAAGTCGTTACATGCCTATTCAAGCTGTACTTCTAATGAAAACTGGAAACGTGTTACTTTGAACCAGTTGATGAAAGGTGGCAGGGATCACAAGTGAATAATTAGAAGTTAGGCGGTTGATTGTGACTAGAAGTGGAATCTAGGCTGCATATTTCGTCCCATTTGAGACTCGTCTAACAACTGG